GTTTTTGAACCTTTATTGCAGTTTTTGTTTCCCCTCGATTAGATCTATCGCCCTCTACAGGGCGGCCGGCTGATTATGAAAGGGAAGACGAATTTGGCTTGGATAACGTTGAGATAACCTCGCATTTTAGTCAGCTATTAAATCTGGTAGATTTTCATGTTTTGATTTTACACACACATGTATATATATAACCTAAATGCCTCCTCTAGAATGTCATATATGAATATAGACTAATATATAGTAAGTGAAAGCTATTGAAGTTGCCCTTTTTAATTTTAATGTACCTGCTAGTTACATTAAAATGTATATAGGGTGTTTATCTTGAGATTGGGCGCTGCACAAACTGAAGAGCCTTATTGTTAGAAGGTTAAGCCAGCCTGAGACCAGTCGACCAGTGAGTTTAAAGTACGTCGAGGAACGGACGGACAAGTTTTGACCGTGGTGGAATGTGAGGAATGCTGGTGGGTTCCCTGGTGGAGGGGGAACCCTGAAGGATCAAGTTATTTTCGCGCCAGAATGAGTGTCTGCAGCCTCAACAGGCGGTAAACTGGTGATGTCGATTATATACTGTAAGATTAGCAGGTTCAGACAAATGTTTAAGATTCGTCTGAGGATGCCAGTCTGCAAAAGGAAGTGCTTTGGCAAGCCTTTATGTACAGTTTATGCCTTTTATTTCTTCCTAAAATGTAGAGTGCTCTGCGTCACTGTTCTGATTTTCATTAGTTTGAATGTCAAATATGGAGCTCGTTGGTGGTTTTCACTGCAGTGTGAGAAACAGAACGCCTCTATAGTGCTAGAGTGCCTCAAGAACAAAAGATTTATAGGGCAAGAAATAGCAGAGTATTTTACTTTGGTAGGGCATTTTGTTTTACTGTTATTTTTCAGTATAAATATTATACTTTCAAGACAAAAACTACATTAGGAGTATTTATACATGTGGAGATCTGCATTTAGTGGGAAACTATAACCATGATGAATATGTATATATTCAGTACATAATCCATACCCAATATCTGCAATGATACCCAGTACATGTCAATTTATCTAAGGTTTTTTTAGTTATTATTAGCTCTGTGTTGTAGTGCTCAGCTTTTTTTAAACAAAAAATTATTAGTGTATGATATTTAGAAAGTGAAGGAACTGTTATCGTTTTTTTTACAACAATTCGAGGATTCAATAAATGTGGGGAAAAGCATTTTCTGTAATTGCCAAGCAAACACAGAAGACACTGCATCTCAGTGTTGGGTTCTTGTTTATTTCTCCGCGGGTGTGCGTATTGGAGTAGTCTTGTCTCCTTTTTTTCTTTGTTCAAACAAATTGTAGGAACTCGGAACAGGAACCACAAAGCCCTTTCATTGTTTCTCAGTGTATTCCAGCAATACAGTCGGGGTGTATGCACTCTTCTCCGATGCAGGGGAGAATGGAGCTCTCTTTGTGCAGACAGCAGAAAGCCCCTAGGTGCACAGTCTGAGAGATGGTCTGGTGAGGAACCAGCACTGAGCTGCAGGCAGTGACTTCAGCGTTTCCACCTCTCGCTGGGCAGCCGGTCAGTGACTGAAAGGGGCCGTGAGGCTGCCTGTACAGTGATTCATTTCCCATGCATTCCTCTGGCTCTCCCACAACACTTAGGGAGAGCAAGCTGTTGTTTGGCCTGTCTCAACGGGTAACCAAGACAACACAAATGAGTGTTTTACAGGAAAATTATGGCCTGAAAACCTCTTTCCACCACAGTCTGATTATCCAAAGTCTTTTTCGGCTTTTTAAAGTCGGTTCGCAATTCCAGATGCAGGCTGGTGAATGTGGCTGTTATGAAGAAAATGTAATAGGCTTAACTCTTTGGGCAGCAGAAATGAGTTGAATTAACTGTTTGCGAGATAATCTTCTGAGGTCTGTTTTGGAAAGTGTATGCTTCGCTAAAACAGCCTGCTCGACATACAGTACAGTAGTTCTCTGGCTTAAATGGCCCTGTGATTTGTGTGTCCCATCTTCACTGGAGTCAACCAAAATAGCCAGGCTAACTAGTTAATGAGCTGAGCAGGCTAAGCATCGTATCACGATACTTGATCTTCCTCTGTGTGCTGGAATTAAACCTACGACTTTAATGAAGGGTTTCATAGTTTGCTCAGCCCTGATGGCTGGTTTCATGTAGAAGTAATGAGCAAATGCCAACTGTAATAGTTTAAAAAGCTGTTAATATTATGCTCACGTTACCTTTCCAGACGGAGATCTTCCCCGGATAACACTTTTCCTGTTTAGAGGTCAGTTGCTTTCGACTTGGGCTTTGACATAATCTGACATTACTAAAGCCATATCTTCTGTGCTATGCAATCTACCTATTTTTGCCTGATGACCTCAAATTGCGTTGCCATCTTTTAAAGCAAAAGCAGCAGAAAATAAAAAAAAGAACAAGAAAAGCTCTTTTTCTTAAAGAACATTGTTAAAAGGCCCATTGTGGAAGGACAGGAATTTCCAAAGTAGCTGAATTACTACTTGTTCAGCAGAATTTCAAAACAACCCAGTTATTCCTTATTTGGCCAGATACAGGCTGTTATTTTCAGATGCTTCAGTAAGTGTCTTGAATATTAACCAGCCCTTCACAGGGTTCAGCCTGTGTCGTGTAATTAATAAAGAGGCGTGGTGACAGAAGTAACACATCGAAGAGAGATTTTACCTTTATTGGCATCACGAGAATCCAGTCAAGCCCAGTTCTACAGCCTGCCCCTCCCTGTAGGCTGGAATGGGCAGGCAGCTGTTGATTGTGCCCAAGCCCTGCGAAGATCTCAGCCAGCATCAGTCTGCTGTGAGGTGAGCCCAGGCTGGGACAGCAGGGCATTCGGAAGGACGAATGGGAGTCTCTAAAAATAGCACCGTGTTCTGCCTTCCTCTGTACAGCAACTCATTCGCTGGCGCTGTGGTGGAAACGCAGGAGAACGATGAGCTTTTCTGCCTCAGACGATTTTGCCTCTTTGTATTCCACTGGGTCTGTTTTGCAGCATTTCATCCAGTCTGCCTCTATATTTTCTAGGGGTACATCTTTAACATGACAGATTTTTTTTTTCCATCGCAGACCCTTCATGTAACAAATGTGATTATGGTACTGATCGGTTGTTGGGTATCTCTGACAATAAAAGACCTTCGGATGAATATAGCAGATTTATTGCCGAGAGTATACGCAAGGTCTAAGAATTGACATTGACCTAGTGCTGGCCATCAAATAAAAAAAACAAATAGCTGTTACCTTCTTTAAGGTTTTGACTGAAAAATTGCCCAGGGCTTGTTGATTAAAAGGGATTTACCAGAGTGCAGAATGACTGCAGCAGAGTGATTTAATCCCTGATAGAGCACCTTCCTATGGGCCTCATTAGGGATTAAGGCAACAGTGATACTGCAGTGTGTTCATGTTAAAAGAAACCTGTTCTGCACTTAATCTTCTGTATCTCTTTCAATGTCGTTAGGTATTGTATTGCAACACAGTTTTGTTTTCCGTTTAGGATCAACATTCTGTGCATAAAAATTCTGTTTCTTTTGGAAGTAACAATTGTTATTTATTATATTAGGAAATGTATGCTGCTTAGTCATTCCGTAGATATGTTTTTCATGCACACCCAAATGCTGTCTGATAAAGAATTTGATTACTTAACACTTCTGCAAACAGCCCAGAATCCTTAAGAACCACAGTACTAGATTTTCAATTCTGTTTACTGTTTAGAGAAGTTGTATTTTTTTGTCCAGATGGGTAAATGAGACAAGAAAATTATTCAAATTGTAATAATAATAATGATAAAATGACTTATTTGGAAAAATATTTGAGAAAAGACGACTTTTGCAATTACATGCAATTATATTACATTCGAATTTGACCTCTGAACTGAAGTCTTTATTGACACCAGTAAAGTTTCTTCAGGAACTAAACTCCTTCTTCCACTCAGTCAGCACGTAGTTGGCAAAGGCATTTTTGAGTAAATTTGCTGTGCTTTTAAAGGTCAGATGTTCTCTTTCTTCTTAACTCTGTGGAGAAGGAGGTTAGAGAACATGAGGAGCTGTAATGAAACCCGAGGCACTTTGTTTCCACGTTTTGTCATGGCATTTTAAGAAGATATCCAACGGGGGAAAATAAAACTGTAAGGAATCTGCGCAGTTCTCATCCGCTAATTTGATAGTTTAAAGTTAACTTGCTGGGGGCATTGCTGTCACCTAGCAACAGCTCTGTATTTGTTAGTGCTTTGCAATGTGGTTTGTATTACAGGTCACCAAAACTCCCATCTCTTTAAATTAAGCTTTTGCATGTGACTGGCAATTACATCTGGTATTTTTACTTGGAGGATTTGTTTTTCAGTGTTTTTATTTTTAGTCCCCAAACCCCTTAGTTTAATTCAAAATAATGCCAAAT